TGAGTAACAGGTTTCAAAAATTGATAACTCGGTGCGAAACCCTGTATTTTATTCGTTCTTGGCTTTTCGACTCGCCCGCTTTGTCGTTTACGATGTCCCGATCTAGTGGGAAGAAAAAGAGAGGATGTGTTAGATCAAAAACAATTTACTAGTATTCTGTGCATCAGAATCAGATCACATCTTAATCTGCGATAGAACAGTGTAAAGAAGTATAGTTTTTCAAGACTCTCTTGGTACGATAAACTCCGGAGTTCTAAAATCTCACGGGTAGTTGCCCTATGTACTTTTTCCAGGATATCCGAGTCACCTTTTAAACAGGGGCATGGGGCCTGAACGCAGTTCTCAAACCTAGTTCTCACTTAAGTTGTGGGTACTGTAGTGAACATGGTAGTATTTAACTTGGTGAATGTCTGTCTCATAGCCCATAGGGCTCTAAACCCCTTATCTGCGACCTACTGGCAATGGGCCGTGGGCTTATGATCATGACTCACTGTCACCCCAAAATTCTTGTGGTCCAGACCACGGGTAAAGGTAATTCCCCTCTGCTGTACCTATCTACCTTTACATCCCCAAAGTGCATGTAGATATACTTTGACGCGTTAATAGGCACCACCTACTCCTTAGACCAGTTAGTCCCAATATTTAAGTCTGCCTTAAGTGCGCATTCATCTGCATCTCCTGTTATTTCTCGCCAGAGCTTTACATCGTCAGCATATAACAACATTGGAGACTCTACTATACTTGGGAAATAATTCGCATACAACATAAAAAGTAAAGGACCAAGGACAACTTTACTACTTTTCCTACACTGAAGCACCGAGCAAGTGATCATTTATGTCACAGATTTAATACTGATAAAATAATGATCATACTGAAATCAGAACCCATGAAGGATAAACAGACATGAAAGGATGTCATTACTGAGTTAAGAACGCGAAAGCGAAATGGTGTGTAGCGGTAAATAAACCCCCAAAATCAATATTTCCGTAAGTCTTCGACATTTGATGCTGACGGCATTAGTTGTAATGGACTCACCTAGCTGACGGCGCTTGGTCAGGCATCCACACCAGAACACGAGTGGGCACACCGTTCTTCATATCTCCTATAACCGCTAGCCAGCCTAGATTGGTCACTTCGCGATATATCGATATTCTTTCGAATATATCTTTGAACCTCTTTGCTCCCGGCTTCTCATTTGACTGGGTCGGCACAATTCGATTATAAATGTTGTTACTGGTTAAATTGAAACAAACCCTAAGACTCAGGGTTTTAGAGTGTTAAAGCATTGGAAGCCAATGCTGTTGAAATCTGTATAGATAGAACGAGTGATTCTCAAAACACCTTAAATGTGTACTACACAAACACGCTTAGTCTTAGGAATTGAGCGCATCGGAGGCGCATTACACCGATAAATGCGAGACAGCTTATTATAGCAATAAATCTAGACACGGATTAGTGACTACAGGAGAGATATGCATCAGTCTACGTTGCTTTGCTGACGACTTTACCTTAAATAATATATGTTCTGGAAGCAAGTCAGATTGCTATCCCATCGTTGGAGATTTCAGCGCGCGGCATATCAACTAGATAGAGATTACGACTTCAGTCGGACGTCTCGATAGCTGCCAACTGACAACCATTATTCGGTGCACACTTGTAAATTGCATCAAATAACTGACATATATTGACTTAGAACATGAACCACCATTGTCAGTCTATCACTTTGTCCTCCATGAATCGACAAGGAAAGCTGTAAGCTGCTAAGGCTTAAGAAGCACTTCTGAGTCCAGAGTTTGTCAACAGACCACAAACCGTTTAAGTTGGAATACTGAAAAATCTGGAGTATGTGTAAAACTACCAAGGCTAGAAACCCTGCCACTCACGGAAGATAGTTGGCATGCGATTTTCATACCTGCTCAGAACGATTGTTTTCGTACAACAAACGAAGAACTATTCGTAATGATGAGATTCCTACATTATTGTCGCACGAACATTCGGACTAATTCGATAATTAAACATTTGAAATAAATAGTTCTGTAAGTCTTTGACATTTAATGATGACCTTGTTATTTTTACTCGACGCATGTAGCTGAAGTCACCTGGTCACGCAAACACACCAGAACACGAGTGAGTACGCCGTACTTCGCATCTCTTACAGCGGTTAACAAGCCTAGATTAAACGCTTCAGGGAGATTTAGGGAGAGGAACATGTGCCACTGAGATACCAAAGCGAGAAGGTTAGAGCAAATAAGAGAACTAAAGAGGCATCACACTACTGTCAGTACCAGGAAAAGTTTTCAACAGTGTCGCTGAGCCTCATGAAAAATTCATCAGACGACAGGCTGGATTCCTTAAGGATCAGACATGTACAGACAAAATCACGAAACTACAGATCATTAATAAGTAACCAAGCGAATGGAACTTATTATTATACACCACCTTCCTTTATTATGAGAAAAAATTTGACAGTGTGAATAGGTGAATTTATGGGGCCACCCTGAGAAAACTGTCAACATTATTCAGAATTCATGCGACGGACGGTGCATGGAGGACAGCTGACAGATGCATTCCAAGTGAGGACCAGCTTTCCTACAGTCGAACAACACATGCAACTCAAAACAACTGTCAAACAGTACCAAAGTCAGAATCTTCAATACGCACGTCAAAACAGTTCCACTGTACAGAGCTGAAACGTGAGGAACCACCACAACCAACATCAAACGCGTTCAGGTATTTATAAACAGCCGTATATGCAAGGTGATACAATTCTGTTGACTAGACATCATCGACAACAACCAAATGTAACAAAGAACAGACCGTATTCCAGCTGATAGTAAAATTAGGGAAGGACGTTGAAGATGGATAGGGCATATATTACAGGAATCATGAAAAGGAAAGTGCTAACTTGAAATCCTAAAGAAAATGTGAGGAAAGGAAGAACCAAGAACACAACGAGTTGGGACTTGGAAGCAGAAATGAAAAGGATGGATAACAACTGGAAAGGAATGCTCTGGAAAGAGTTTGATGGAGTATGCCTGTGAGCGACCCGTGCTACTCTACGAGAAGTAAGAGATGTAGGCAAATGTTACTCATTTTATTTATGCTTTTGTTTATTTTTCCATGCTGTATTTTTTGACCTGCCCATAAACTTGCTGCTTTTAGGATTTCAAGCCAGGGATTTTCTTGTAATGTGTGGAGAGGAGTGTATCTTATCCACCTTGAGTGTTTTTTCTTAACTTCCTCATCTGTAGCCAGAAGCTTTCCTCTATCCTACCAGGATATGTTGTTTTGATGTTAAATGGTCAGCCGGTGCGGACTTCTTGCGTCAAAATATGACTGCTCAGTATTCATTCAGTTAAGTGAATAATAATCTTGTTTGATTTCACAGTTTTTATGAGCCAACCTTGAGTTATACATTCATATCAATTTGTCATGTGGACATATCTCTTTATATTTTCAAGTTATTCATGAATCGTAAGAATTAAAACGGAACAATGACGACGAAGATTCTCGAATACTCAATTTATAAGGAATATGAGATTTGAAGAAATGAGCTGTTTGGTAATGTAACATTGGACATTTTAAGGATACAAGGTGGCATTTCGCTGAGCGCTTTATGAATTGCCGTTAATATATCGTGGTCAGTTTCATAAAATTTATAATAAAACTATTTTTGACACTTTACAACAGATCACATTATGTCCTCACCTTCTAGTGGCATCATATTCAAGTTCTTCACTTGGATCTAGTTTTCATTATTTGTTTAGTCAGTCCGATATTATACAAACTGTTCTACTCTATTTGTTTACTGGTATATATTCCTAATGAAAGCATTGTTTTTTGTACATGGTGGGATATTTATCCATGAAAGAGGGTGAGCAGCGTTAATGCTTGTGCGTACTGATGAAGAGGGCCTCGTCTTTATTTTGGACATTTTTTATCAGTCATATGACTACTATATAGTATGACTGATTGTTATGAAAGTACGTAAGTGTTGCATGAGAGTCAAGAGCAAAGGGCTTAAGTTTTCCGAAGCAGTTCCAGCTTTGTACAACTACCCCATGATTTTATAATTTTTGAATTGTTTATCAAAGTTATAGATGGCATTAAGTTGGTGAAAGCAAAAGTGTCACACATTTTAGCAACGTTTTCAGTGAAGGAAGATAATCGATTTAGTGGTTCATAGTCCTATCTGTGTATATATGTATATTTATAACTGAAGGTGGTTGTTTAAACATCATAGCCACTAGTCAAATACTAACAGCTTAGAACATGTAATAAATATGCTTGCCCGAAGCTTCTTTAATACAGTGGAACGACAAGATAAAATTGGCAAGATCAGTAGCAAAGAAAGTCCAAATAATTTGATGGAAGTGAAAAAGAAGTATCCGGAGTTTCTTTGGATGCTCATTGCTCAAGGTAACTAAAGGCCTGAATTTTATCAGCGAGTTCACTGACCAGGAATATTTCAGTTGTTTATCCCAAGTTGATCAGTAAGTGTTCCGGTTGAAAATCAACCGTCGAAAGTTCGATGAAGAAAGTGGTTTTGTAAGGGAACATCCAAGACTTAGTCGAATTAAAAGGGGAATAGTAGACTACTGTGAAGAACAATTTTTCCGATAGACAGCTCTGATGATAACTCATCATAGGCTCTGACTTGACTAATAGTGTCTGAATAGGGAGCGTTCATACGGTCAAGTACGTTTTTATTAAACCTTTAAATGAAGAGCATTGCCAGTAAATCTCTCAGTCAACGGAGTTGAATGCTACCTTAAAATCAAGAAATGGGACAGCAGTAGGGGATTGGAAATCATACTTCTATTCTTACGCATGGCGCAGTGTAAATGCTTGATCAATATACCCACATCTGGGTCTAAAACTAGCCCTGTTTTCCAGTGTAGCGGTAAATAAATCCCCAAAATAAGTAGCTCTGTAAGTTTTCGACATTGGATGCTGACCACATGTTTTAATGGATTAACCTAGCTGAAGGCGCTCGGTCATGCATCCACACCAGATCACGTGTGGGAACGCTGTGCTTAACATTTACTGCAATCGCTAGCCAGACTAGATCAGACAATTCCGATATATTGGCGATCGTCAAATACAACTTCCAATCTCCTCGATTCTATCTTTTGATTTCTCTTGGTGGGTACAAGTTTTAATAGGTGTTACTGGTAAAAGCGTTGTCAAACACTGAATACCTGTGCCATCTTCACCAGAATTTGCCCTTCATGTGCTTTAATTGAGCGTCAAATGGCTAGAAATATTAGTATACCAGGCATCAGATTAGGAGAACTACAACAACCACAATCAAGAAAGTACAAGTTTTTATAAATAGCTGTCTACGCAAGATACTCAACATCCATTGGCCGGATACCATCAGCAACAGCCTTCTGTGGGAGAGAACAAACCAACTTCCAGCTGAAGAAGAAATTAGGAAAAGACGATGGAAATGGATAGGACATACATTACGCAAATCGTCAAACTGCATCACGAGGCAAGCCCTAACTTGGAATCCTGAAGGGAAGCGAAAAAGAGGAAGGCCAAAGAACACATTGCGTCGGATAATAGAAGCAGATATGAAAACGATGAATTACAACTGGACGGAGCTAGAAAGGATTGCCCAGGACAGGGTTGGATGGAGAATGCTGGTGAGCGGCCTATGCTCCTTCACGAGGAGTAACAGGCGTAAGTAAGCATCAGATTAGCCAAACTGACTCTGTAGTTATCACTATAAGATTTCTGACGTGATCATCTGCTGGGATCAGTCAGCTATGGTTACACCCAGCCCTTAAAATCTAGTGACCATCTCAGCTTAGGCGCTAACAGTTGAACTGCCGTTTTTAAAGATCTTCGAAGTTAATCCATCCGAGCCCGCTATACTCTCGGTTTGTAGTGGCTATGGCCTTTTCTGCCCCATTGAGATTAAGGAGACTAGTACAAATAATCTATTCAGGTTGTTTGGATACGGTGTAATTGATGGGTAGCTGAAGTTCAGTTGGGTTCTTACTCAAAATATTCTACCCATTGGCCTAATTTCCTAGATTCGAAGTGAACAGTGGTTTTGTGGCCATATCGCAACACATCTTGTATTAAGAATTCTCTCCTCTGAGGTGCTAGCCGAAGAGTTGCAAGCTCCTGTAATTCTGAATAAGTATTAATATACTCTCCAAATCCTTATTTAATTTACCACTTGTCTTTAAAGTTAAGCGCAAAAGACATTTGGAAAGTAGTGTTGTCCTGTTTTGTCGTATCTAGTAGGGTTTAATACGCAGTCAGGCAGTATGGGCTGTAAAATTAGAGGCCCCTAACAAACCAAAAGGTATTAAAAGATCTTCATATATTTACATGTCATGAATCCTATTGCATTACAAACTTCAGAGTATCATGTGATTTGACTGATAGTATAAACTAAAGGTTGATTTTCGTGTCTTGTAAAAAATGTCAAGTCTTTCAACAATACTTCACTCATCTGTTTATGTCAGACCTTAACAATTTATGGCTAAGATAATGAGTGTATGTAGAAGATCAGGTTCTTATGGTATCCAGCTAATGAACACGACGGAATACAGTCATCATTTACTTACTTTTAGGGTTTAAGAAGAAATTTTTATGAGGTATCGTTTGACTGTCTTTGATCACTGTCTATAATACTATCTTGTTTAACATGTTCTGTAGTATACGAAGTGAGTTAACTTTATATGATGTACTCATGTTTCATTTACCTTTTACTTTTCGCTTATCTTTACTAAGGCTGTTGTTCAAGGCCCTTTACATTTTGCTTGTCTCTAATCCTGAAAGGACATTATTCGAAAGTCTGTTGCACTAAAAATGAATAGGATACATAGTAATGGCATCCAGTTTATACACTGGATTCAAAACTATGAAGTGAGTAATTTAAACTTTCGTTACTGTGATGAATTACACTTCATAATGCATTTTGATGGACTAATATATGTTTATGTGGTTCTCAAATAATTCTATGTCTTTAATCTAAATAGGGCATAATTTAGGGGTTATTTTCACCGCTTCTAAGCTATTAAATATTTATTTCGATACAAAAATAAATGAGAGGTGACAAAGAGATAGTTTGTAATGTGTACATTTTCAACCTTAATAGTGGACATGCTTTTTAAAAAGGTTTCTAAACGATGGCTGGATATCTTTGTTTTGGATTGCACAGGAGTAAACTTATGAGTGCTTTAACAACCTTAGTACATGAACTTTGATAAAAATGTATTGTTTCCATCCAAAACTACTGTTAACCTAAAAGTAACGACGATTTTCAAACAAGAATAACAGATGCTAGTCAGCAAATCACTAGAGCATGCATTTTTAAGTACAAATTAATTACCATTCATTAATCATCGAATGGTTAATTGACCAATCAAGGTAACTTTATTAAAATTGCTCATTTTGAAAGTAAGGGAGTATCGCTATGTTATATTAAAATCTGATCATTCCTAAATCAGTTTGTAATTTATTAACTTGATCATAAGTAGTAATTTATCTCATATATTGATTTAGAAAACACGCTTTTGTATGAAAAAGTCTTGAATTGTTTGCTTCAACACAAGCTAGTTTGTAACAGTCACAAATCGTACGTTTTAAAACAAAACTATTCCAAACCATAATTCTTTTACTAGTGATCAGAACTAACAGTTGCTTATTCGACTACCATGACTTGTAATTAGATGAAAGTAGCACAGTTTGTGAAATTAGATAACTTATAGAACTGTAAAACGACTTGTTGCCCACATTTAATAATGTGGAATAGTGATTCAGTCACAAATAAGAAGCTATGCACACATGAGTTGACAAAGATGGGATTGTGTATAAGTCTGCAACTTTGTAATCGTTACCAAACAGTATATTTTTACGAGGGACTTTATATAAGCGCTACCTATTTAGTAATAGTGAGGTTAGACGCAGGGTATTAGGGAATGATGGTAAATCAGTTGATGAGGTTATGAATCTTCATCGACTGAGATGGTTGGGCCACTTGTTACGCATGCCTGAGCACCGATTACCACGACGCGCAATGCTAACTAGTGTTGGGGATGGTTGGGAGGAAGTGGCCAAACCTGAGCGTGGCATCAGTCCCTAAAGTCACTAACTTCTGGCCTTTGCCATGTTGGTAGATGCAGACTACTTGGTTGGGGTCCACGTGACCAATGGTTTGAAACTCGGGGTGACATGGCTCAGAATCGGTCACAATGGCGTAGGTGTATGCACTTCCTGTCTTCCCTTAAACTATGAGATTAAAATCGCTTCATACATTCCTTTCTACGAACTAATTTTTTCTTTCTGTACTATATCCTTATATGCAATCTTTCTTTCATATATTATTACCATTGAATTAATTACTTCTATGAATTCAGTGTTCATCTTGTTGTGCTAATGAGGTATGGCAACTTGGACCTATGCATATATGTGCCTGGTTCTACGTTGTATTTGACTGACTGACTACCTATTTAGTGCCCACTTGTTTAAGTGATGTAATTTGTTAGGTAAACTAGATATCCTAAATTCTGGAATTTCGCAGGTTATCATTGATACGCTGAGCAATCTGGGTCTGAAGTTAATCGATTTTGTAACTTTAAGAAAAATTAGTTGACTTTGAATTCACTCAGTCAGGGGACCTACTTTATCTTTGAGGAAGAAACTTTGGTTTGGACTTTATCTTAATCATTATGATTATTGTATTTGAAACTGATATCGTTTGACCATGTAGTTAGTTTTTATATCTGATTCTTTACAAAAGCGTTCGCTTCAATACATGTAAAGTTTTTTCGTATTTGCTGATAGCATGAATCACATAAATATTGCTGGTAAGTTTATGGTTTCTTTTGATGTGACATCATTGTTTACAAAAATACCACTTCTTGAAACCATAGACATAATTGGTCAACATCCTGATATCCTACCTCTACCAGCAATAGAATTCAAACGACTATTACTCTTGTATACAAAAGATGTTCAGTTCCAATTCAACAATACTATATACCGACAAACCGATGGTGTAGCAATGGGAAGTCCGTTAGGCCCCGTCCTAGCAGACATTTCCATAGCTAACCTCGAAAGAACCAAGCTCAAAGGAGCGATTGATGAGATGATGTATTATTCGAGGTATGTTGATGATACATTCATCTTATGTAATAATCAACAACATGCGACAAATCTGTTAAGGTTTTTCGATGAAGCTTATCCAAATATTCATTTCACTATGGAACATGAAAAAGAAAACATTTTCCATTTTCTCGATATAGCGATAAAACGAAGAAAGAATGGCACAGTTCAACGCTCAGTTTATAAGAAAGACACATGGAATGGTATTTATCTCAATCTCAACAGCTTTTGTCCAATCAATTATAAAAAGGCACTTGTCAAAACACTGTTTCACAGAACAGAAAGAATATGTACTGCCGATACAATAGAAGAGGAAATTATGAATGTTAAAAAGTATTTAAGAAATAACGGATACCTATTGAGATTTATTGAGAAATATGGAAAACGTGAAGATAAAATACCCAAAGAAACTACAGTAAATAAAAAACCTGTTTTTATTCAACTCAAATTCAAAGGCGATAATGTCATGGGGTCAATCAATATGAGACTAGAAACTGCATTGACAAAAACATATTCTGCAGCTAAATTGATTGTCCTGTCCAAAACGACATGTTCTTTGACACAATCAAAGGTCGACAGGTATCCCTTTCATGTTACCACCAACTGTGTATACAAATTTACATGTATCTGCCAAAGTAGTTACATTGGTAGAACAGAAAGGAGAGCCTATGTCCGATTCAAAGAACATATTCCGAAGAGTTTGAGGTCAAACGAACTAAAAGCATTTAGCAGCGCTGTCCCAAGACATCTTGACACAGGACGCGAAGTCGACATACTAAAGTCCTTCAAGGTGATCAACAAACAATCAAATTCAAACCTTTTGATATTCACCGAAGCAATAGCAATCAAACGTTTAAAACCAGATCTTTGTATACAAAAAGAAACAGTAATAAATCTTTCTTTGCCCTGGTAACATTCACTTCACCCCCTTTTATTTTTATTTATTTTTATTACGTCATTCCAACTCTTTCTGAATTTTATAATTACATCATTCATAACTGACCAATTTCAATTCATATCTCTCTTTATTAACATTAATCTATTTTCAGTTACTTCATTACATAATCGTCTAATATGTTTTAATTCCATGGTTTCTAATCACTATCTCAATTTTCTGGAACTTTCCCTCCCAAACTCTATATATTCGAAACGAAATTTTATGACCTCACTAATTCGAACGAAATCTTTGCTACATTATGTTACATATATTCATCCTTCATCGCCCTCTGTTGTATAAATATGTCAATATCTATAATAACTTTGAATTGCAAATATTTTAAGTTGTAAGCAGTTGATGAGAACCTAACGAAATAAAATGAATTCATATTATTCTTCACTAACCTTTGTTCTTGCTCTCTTTAAAGTTTTTTTATTTACATTGTAATTTTGGCTAGTGGATAGTTACTCTATAGCCCATAAAGTCAAATGAATATTTAAAAAATCCCCATATTGTGAATAATAACAACATATATTAGCGAACAACATTGTTTGCAATTAGATCCTCATCGGGCTTTACTCTAGTATACAATAATGTTTATATACATATATAAAATTACTAAGTCAATCAACGGAGTTTATGAGTCAGTGATAACAATATAATAAATTGAATAAATAAACATAGTAAGCAGAAGGTGCAAATTGATAGTGTGATTACAGGTGTACTAGTTGTGATATGAATAATAAAGGCTTTAATCAATGTTTCATGGTAGGATGTAGACTGAAGCCTTGAGAAAACAGACATTCAATTAACATTTATCCAAAATTATTGAAATCATGTAATAAAAAGTGTTCAGATAAATGGAAAGTAAAACATATATCTGAAAAAGCGGTGAAGAAAAATAAATGAACAAAGCGTATGAAAAGTAATGATAAGTATGATCGTTCGCTAAGCCTAGTTTTACCACAGTAAAGATAAATGCTACAGATTCCTTATGAATACAAAGACTTAGATTATTTTCTCGAATCCCCATACCTCCTGCTACGTGTAAGTGATGAGACTAAATTCAACAAGGAAAACTAATAGGAGTACAATAAATTACTTTAAGTGGCCTGTTTTATCTACTACATGATTGATATTGGTCAAGTGTGATAGAACAGAGCTGCATGTTGTTTTGATGACACACTTTTTAAATTACGAAGTAAAGCGTTAACTGATTCGATGGCTCAGTTGTCCGGTTGTGCTCCCAATATTAGCTTTCTCCACAGGAGCAGCTGAATTATTTAAAACACTTAGATGTGCCGAAACCAAGTAACTTATCCTTTGGTTGAGCAATCACCACAGGTTGGCTGAAAAACGAAAGACAAGTTAGCTGTGTTAAACGTTCTATTTATTGCTTTGGTCAATCAATATCATAGTGCATCACTGGCTACATCTATGTGCTTTAATAAAAACATTTTATTCGTCTGAGGAAAGATAGTGGTATATGATGGCCACTTGGGAGTGAAGACATAATTCATGTTGTTGTAGAGCAATTTCACTGTTCTGATCTGGTCACCTCTACTTTTTCTCAAATCCTAGTCTTGAGTTAGGTAGAATCCCGTGTTGAAGCAAATTACAACTAATTATGTTTAATAGTTTCAGTTTGGGCCGATTCTCAAGATCATCGAGTGGTGTACCCTCTCTTCCTCCAACTTTTCACTTAGAGAGAAAGTATGGTATAAGTAGCCGGTTTGTTATTACCTACCTCCTGATCAGCTTATGAAGAGAAATCAGGTCAAAAACGGATTTGAACGCATACGAATCAATTGTTTTTTTCTGTTTGTGTGTTTTCATAGTCAAGGCAAAGTTTTGGTGCAAATTAACTCCGAAGTGATGCTACATTGCTTACATATCCCAGGCTATAGGTAGCTACAACATATCTGAATAGATTGAATCCATCTGTAAGATAATGAAACAATTTTAATAGAGATTTTCTTTAATCCGTTAACTAGTAAAAAATGAGATGAAATGTACTGATATCTAATTATTATTCTATTTGTCCTGATAATATGATTGATTGTTTTCGTTCAGTAAAACAATCTCTTTTTATTAGATTTGGGTCTCAACAACTGAATTTTGTTTATGATTTTAGCGTCTGGAGCCTTTGTTTACAGTCGTTAGTCATATCGGTAGTCCTAATACTGCCTACTCACTGACGTTTCCAACTGCTTATTATACTGATCCAACATTGGGGATCACGACAATCTTATGTACGGCTTTAGCAGACTGGTTAAACGGAATACTTAAGTGGTCAGTATTTTTCTAATTTGTGCTGAGACTTTTAATCTGTATTGGATCCAAAAGTTCAACTCATTTTTGTATCGACAGTTAATGTTTCACACCATACCTTTTAATGCCGTTATTTGTTTGTATGCAGTATTCCTAAAACTTTCAGCTATTTTCAAAATGGAAATATTGTTCTACACTAATCTCCATTTTAAATTACTTGGATAATATCAGATATGTGTTATACCATGTATGGATTAATATCGCTTGTTTATATAACTGGAAATACCAGTGTATCAAATGACCTAAATTCACTAGTCAATAAGCGATATTCTTTAAAATCGAATAATAAGGATAAGTTGTAATGGATTGGTTTCAGTATGTTTGAGAAAGGATTGTAACTATATTGTGTCATCTCAGGTTGTCAGTGCATCAAAATAGGATAAACGAGAAACATGAGCCTAATCCATTGTAACAGGACATTAGAGATTTAGGTGGATTTATTCTGCTATAACCAGTTTAGGGCTGTTCTTTAGGTATTCCACAGTCACTGCTTCTCTTTGCTGGACATATCGTCTACAAAACCCACGATTTCTTTTTGTTGAAGTTTAAAATAGTAGTCACCATTTTTTTACTTGCTGAAGAGTTCTGTTTAATCACTTTGAAGTTTTCTTAACAACATATATCAAAGGTTGTAACATGAAACCAAATCTGTGATGTATGCTACTTATTTCGATGAACATAAGTTTGAGAAGATCGGTGTGAAGAGAACGAGAATGAAAACAGAGAGTAATGGCAATAGCAATGAAGGACGATGAAATTTGAGACAATTGATTGAGGATTGGCAAACGAAATATTTAATGTATGGTTTTCACATTTTATCATAGAAATCTGTAATGTCGTATTGAACAATAAATTGGTTGTCCCCATCTGAGTTCTCGTTCAATACACATCTAGACTTAAAATGAACGTGGATGTATCTGATTGTATATAATATCGTCCTAGGCTGTACAAATACTCTAAAATATTTCGTCCTATTATCTAGGACTTTTAGGCGAAGTGCTATAAGTAGTTATTGCATAGAACAGATATTCTTGACAAACTTTGCGTTGTTAGAAGAGAACGATGAAGATTCGTAAACAGATATGGACTATATAAAGTAAGTAATAGAAATGTAAAGCACGTATTGTCAATCTAGTTATCTGTTTAACCAATATTTATGAAACGTTGAATTGGTAATATTTTATCGCGATGAGATTACACTGAAGACATTCGGTTATCATGTTTCATATTTTTATTTCTGAATTTGTTGTACATTTGTGGTGTATTTTATTCTGAAGCTCACGAGAATATCTTTCTCCTCTCATACTGAACTTATAATAAGTACTATCACTGAAACTTCTATTTATTCCAATCGTTAGTCTGTGCACAAACTGGGCACGCCATACCAGATAGACGATCCACGTCCATATATGCAGAACCAAGGCATAAGTTAGACAATATCTTACTCATCACAATCACAAGCAATCTACAGTCAGTGGGTCCAAAGTAGAAATCAGTGGTGTGAAGGAAATTATGTATTAAGTAATAAGTAAGCTGAGTGTCCGTTTGTTCACGTTTAGTGGTCAATGACATCTAATTTTCACTGGCCTAACACTAATCACTACATGTGTAAGCAAGATTATCAGTGTTTAAGCAATTCTTCGTTTGTGATCACGACGGACATACAGAAAAACTGTAATTGGCGGATTCTTTTGACGGGCAATCTTCATTCGTTCGTCTAATATTTTTTGTAACTTCAAACTCATGTGTTAATTTCTCACTTAAGCTCTTTGTAGATTGTTTATTCTCTTACTTTTAAATATTTAGTGGGTTGAACTGTTAAAAATGTCTTTGTAAGCCTTTCTGGCTTAATTCTGATTCATTTTTCAATCTGCAGGATGTTATATGGTCATCGGCCATATTGGTGGCTTACACTGAATCGATCGCTGACCGACCCTGACTTATCTGTAAAACAGTACCCACTAACATGTGAAACTGGACCTGGAAGTCCATCAGGCCATTGTATGGTAACTGTAGCAAGCCTAACACCAATGATAACTTACTTCTACCATAAATTAAAAAAGTATGTATTTCGCTTTATTATTGTTACTTACTGTCCAACTTATTGCCTAAAGATACTGTGACTTTAAAATTTACCAATAGGAAGTACTTGGGAAACCACTCTCGAAAATGTTGTTCAGCCTAGATCTAACTGATTAACATATCTATTGCATTTAAGTCAACGATAAAAGTAATTAAAGTACTCAACCTTAATTTTGTTGAATATTGCGGGAGAAAGTAGCTACAGTAATAGAACTATATATTGCAAAAACTGTAATTCTTCAATGAAAAGTAAATGAAGAGAAATCTTTGCGTTAGCAACAGAGTTATTATCAAAACAATATAGATGGCGAACTGATGTTATTTTTTTTCTTTTTCACACGCGTTCTAACTTAAGGTAAAGAAAATAAATTACTGAAGATATTTCTATGGTCTATCATAGGGGGATGAAATATGAGGATTGTTGATGGCCTTGATCAAAGAAGTACGATTGAGTTTAAAAGTTATTAATCAAGTCATAATGAGGGATTTGGGCTAATTTGTCTTGTAACTGCTCAACAAGAAACACATCTATTCTGTTTCGATAGTTAGTTTTCATATTTGTCTAGTCATATTCGAGAAGGCAATCCAATTTGAAACTTTTAATTAAACTAAATGGCTATCCAAGACCTAGAAGAAACTGGTTATCGTCGTATTCAAACTGGCCTACATTGGAATCTGTTTGATGGGAACCAACTGATTAAAAGCAGGAAGGTTTCATTTCATATCGAGACATAAGTTTTTCTTTTTTTCTGTTCGAGTTTCTGTAAACTTAACCCCTATTGTTCATCCTTATTTATTTTAGTCGAAACCATCAACGATGTTTGATAACACTATCCTGTTTAGTTTTTGGGTTAATTGCCCTTAGCCGCTGTTACTTGGCAGCACATTTTCCTCATCAAGTCATTTTAGGACTAATATCTGGTAACAATCATTTTCACTTTTGTTAAATTATTTTATAATTACCAGTTTTTTCAAAAACAAATTATTATTCAATCGCTGTATGCAAAACCACAATAAATAATCTATATATCGCTTGTCTGTTTAATTCTGATGTGCCAACTCTAAAAGTGAACGTATTTTCATCGTAAAATAGTAAAAACTTGGAAAATAAGAATATATTCCCAGTTACCACGAGATATTCATTATCACTGAACTAAGAGATGCCACTGTGAATTATTCAGATTATTTTTATTTTTCAATAGACAAAATATTAAGGTTGGATTCATCCACTGTATAAATTGAAAGGCAAGCTTCACGATAGTTGAGTTCTAAATGCTACAACTTACTAACTAGAAGTTAAGCGTTTGCACGCGAGACCGAAAGTCCTGGGTCCAGACAACGCGTGCGGGATCGTGAATGTGCATTGCTGGGGAGTCCAATACTAGGGCGAAACGACCATTCAGTGCTTCTAGGTTTTCAATAGTGGTCTAGATTAGATCAACTCATGAATTCAACCGTTAAATAAAATGACATTATTGGTAACGTTGTGAAAAGGTTATATATGAAGGGTGAGAAAAAACTACACCTTTATGAAGGTGATAAATTGTAATCAATAAGTTAAAATGGTATGTAAAAACAAGTTAATGCAACATGGGAATTATTGTGTCATAGTTGTGATGATATTAATAATAATAACATTGAGAATGATTATTAATAAGAATATCATGTAAATAAGCAAGATGAGTGTATAATTAAAGATAAGAAAACATGTCTCAGAAAGGAGTGTAAATCACACTGAAAAAGCGGTCGCTCCATTACTATTAACTAGTTATTTTAAATGCTGTAGAAACATGATTGTTAAATTTCTGTGCTCAAACATATGACAAAGATTAAGTTGTTCGTGAGATTTTGTATTTATGCTTATTTTTGTGAACTTTTTTTAATAATATTTCCGTCTCCTAACAAAGTTCATTATTTTATATGAAGAGCCATTGATGTTGAAGATATGAAATACACTTTTTAATCTCTTATGATTTGATTCTCAGTAGGGCATTGAGTAACATATATCACTATGGATTTTCGACGTTTTGTCTATATCTTATTTAACTTCAGTTATTGTGTTCACTAATTTATGTTTGCTACTCTTGTTTGTGACATGATTTGCAATTTCAAAAACTATCAGAATAGCTCTTTACTAACTACTACCATAGTTTACTTAACTTATTCTCGTATATTCTGTTTTAAATTTAGGTATCGCAGTTGGGTTATTATTTAGTTTACCTGGTAGTTTTCTCAGTTCAAAAAACGAAGTCAAAATAAACTGGTTACATGTACAAGCTGTTTATCTCTTAACTCATCCAAACAGACTATTGTGGTTGGGCTTCTGTTCATTCATGTTTGCATACGTTTTCAGCGTATTCTTAGAGTATGGTATAAAAGTAGATCCTAATTGGAGTATAAATTTAGCACAATCAGCATGTTTACGACCAGAATGGATTCACTTATCAACAAGTCTTATGATGGGATTTTCACGAATTGCTGGGACTGCTACTGGTACGTCCTTTATAGTACTAATCTCTTCATGTTATGATTTTCTGGCTGGTATTTTGTTTTCGTAAGTTGTCACATTTCATATCAACCGAACAAGAAGAAACTAAGATGATGCACAGCAGATTAATCAAAATATTAGTGGTGTTTAAAACTAACTGATCGGAAGGAAAGAAGTGAGAAGTTTAGATAATATTAAAATTAAAGATTTACACAAAGTCGCAAATTAAATCCATACCTTGTCACTGCATCCGATTTCGAGCCTTATTATCTAAAGTTCTCAGTCATGGATTACTATGGTTCTTTTGAGACCAACCAGGAAAGTTTTACTTCCGGATACTAATAAGATTAATCATCAGTAATCCTATGAACTGATATCAAGCCAGAGTCTGAAGATATATACTAGTATTCTGTTCAGCCTTAGGTGTTAGAGTAGTTTGTGATTGTGTGCAGAAAATATTAAATCCTAAAACCCATTTGACTGAAGTTTTCAGTTATTTTACAGTACGAGATAGTTCGTCTATTTTGTCATAACTAAATAATTTTGGATATCTGCAAATGTGACTAGCTTCAATAGTTGACTGTTCACACCACAGTCTTTAACTAGTCTTCACTATATGAAACATGATTATGGATAAATATCATTGAAGAGTTTCAAATTATGAAAAAACGACTGTCTAATTATTTCGTTTTCTCAATAAATGTTAACTTGATATCTGTGTGTATAGTTTACATAAATTCACCACCCAGTAATACGAGATAACTAGTTTCCCATAAAAAAAGTTATTTAATCTAATAAACTTTGTTATCATGGTTTCTGTACTGATTAATGTTAAATAGTCGTTGGAAATATCTTTACTTGTTTCTTGAATATATTCATATTTGATCCATCGGTCTAATGATAAACGTTAGTTCATATCGAACTAGTGATTGCAACAGTCACTCATATATTGTATTCCATTTCTTAAATATCTGTTTGTTTATTGAACTAATTCCTGTATTTCTTTTTATTCAGGTTTATCTTTAGGTTTGCGTCTTAAACCAACACATTCTAAACAATCAGTATTAGACACAAATTCCCTACCGATTATTCTATTCAGTTTAATAATTGTGGTTATTAGTACAAGACTTATGGAATTAATATGTAACCAGATAATCAATCTTTCTACAATTAATATTAGTGATGAAGTGATGAAAAGTCATTTTAATATGTTACATTTATTTAATTCATTTTTACAAGGCACTATTTGTCCATTCATTACAGTTTTTATTGTGCCAACATGTATGAATTTATTTCATCGTAAGTATAACTAATTCGATAATTAAAGGTGAATTTTATGCTATTACAAAGCTACCTTTATTAATAAACATTTTATTCCGAATATACTCTCAAAATCAGAAAGGTGTTATTTGAAGAAAGTTTTTTCTTTAAAAATAAAAAACTCAATATTTGCTATTTTGTATTACTTCAAAGAAAACATTTCAACAGTTGTTATATTATTAAATTCATCCTGTTTAGTTTACACTTCCAGAATAATTAATTTATGTTGACGAATTGTTTTATTATTCTTTAGTTCAGTGAATTTAAAATAAATTGACCGTTCATTGTTTTAAAGGTCTATCATCGTAATGTTTATTAGTAGTTAGTTATAGTTATTCCCGCTCAACATAGGTGGAGAACCTCATGACTCTTTGGGTAGAGAAGAGCTTTGCAAAGACAATACGAATGGATACTGGGGAAAATATGTATAAAGGGATAGTGATATAATTAGCATGGGTGATTAACTCAACCCACACTATGTAGTACAGATGTATTCTTACTGACATATACTACATTTTTCCTATCACTTTTGGGAGCTTTTATGCAAACTAAAAGCGCTGGTGAGTTACTAATAAGTTCACAAATGGAGAAACGCGGGACCTATCCCCAAGTATGTTTAATATACATGTATTCAAATGCAGGTATCAAAGATACAAACATTCCAGTGCTATACATAATGGCATAGATGGGCGCGGTTGCTAGTATGCTTTACATGCAATAATATAAAGCTTCAACAAGTCCACTCTTCCCGCAAGTACATATAGGCGTAGAAGTTTCCGCTCGCAATTATACGATACATTCACACAGAAATGCATAAGCCAAGGCCCATATACCCCATAGTATACATATAGGTATAGATGCGATCGCCCTAGGTATTTCATTGGTTGAATATCGAGTATTCAAATCAGCATGTGAATAAGCCGTCATAGAAGAGGTGCTCACAATCCGGTTTTGTATCGATCACTGTACACTGGTTACTGCACATTTTTCGGCCTACGCCCTGGCCCACCCCTGCCAGACCTTATGGGCATTTCCAGACTCGTCTGTTCATGCATAAAAATGAGTTTTCCTTCAATGCAACAATCAAACGCATTTCAAGTTGATCTCTCTTCTCATGTAATTAAGATTAAGCCAAATCTCCACCTGACTTATGCAGAGTGGTTGGTCAGTCCGGTCTCCACTGTGCCGCTTGCGTTAGTTCATGAGTAGGAAGATCACCTACTATCTAGGAAGCACTACGCGGAAGTGCAAATTGATATTTGTAAGTTTATAGTAATCAAGTCACTCAGATACATATATCATAAAATATAACCATTTTATCTATGAATTAAAAGTATGGAGACACACCTATTATCATAAAGTAAACAAAGTCTTTTATGTACAGTTTCTTATAAATTCAATTGCTGAAGTTCCAAGTTATTGGTTCTCATTCAGAAAGTTTCATGACAAACTAAGTAAATAAAACTATCTTTTGATATGAGGGAAAGTAACTGAATATCGATAGCTTTTATCTGAAAAAATCACTGTATAAGAGCTTTTATATGTCACTGTCACAAAGTCATTATGAAGATAGGATTTCACAACAGTAACCTTCATAGTAGCTAGACAGATACTAACTGTTCTTCAGGAATACTTTCACTAATGGACATTGTGAAGTCTTGATAACGTTGGATGTAGTACTTTGGTCCAGAGGCTAAAGCACTCAAACTATCCGGTATGTTCTCTGTTTGAACAGCACTTTACTCACTTCGATCTGTACAGTGGTAGTATCTCTAGCTCTCACCAATTGTGTGTGATGTAAGCTCTTTACATAAATATTTAGTTGATGGCTGAGTTGTTACAACTGTTTAGAAGCCTCTGAATTTGGAAAAATATATTCGATCAGAAATTTTGTCATAATGTACGAGATAAGGATAATGATAACAGGGGTAATCTGAACATCAGGCAAACCTTTTACAGTTAATCTTTAGTATTCCACCTCTTAGTAGAATATCTCATATACCGTTAATAACATACTTAGTTCTCACGTTTTCAGCTAATATGCAACTTTAATTGGTTTCGGTTAACAGGTCATAACTACGTTCATCTTGTGCCGAATACTTTGTACATAAACACCTTCAATATAGTGATGAAATAACAAATTTTTCTAACCACTATTACTGTCTTCTGATATTCATCTAACTTGGTTTATGAGTCGTCACCATTCTGTCACTTAATAGCTCTGGATATGTATTTCTCATAGTTTTGACATCATTAGGTCGAATAGTATTTCATTATTCAATAGTCTTTACCCTTGTGATAAAGTATCCAGCGTCAGATTAAGAAAATATGACATACAGAGTTTATACAGTCCGAAACTTTGGGATTCCAATCTAATAACAGATAGCAATAAACGTGGTACAACCACTCAATATTGTAAATTTTATTTATAATAATTAAAACAGTTCGCTAATTTTCCTTATTACTGATGTCCGATTAGGGTGAAATATTTCAATCTATATTCGATGATCTGAAATATATTCATTCTATTGGAATTGATGAAGAGTTAACTGCAATATTCAACAAACGTTGAAATATTTTCACTAGGTTTCTGTCGGACTCTTCATCTGAATGATAGTTCTCCTATGAAGATGTGATGCATAAAGGAAATTAAACTAAACTTAATACACTAATATTTTGTGGCATGACAAGTATAACTACTTGTGAGTCTAATTAATAGCTTAAAAATTGGCCCGGTTAAAGGTCACAACTCATATGTACGCTCTAAGTTATTTAGTAACCCTGATTTCCCGTCTTTATATTAGGCAAAGACAATCATTATTCAGAGGAGTTTTAGACAATCCTCACCATTCCCACCCACGACATCAGGAAAAACATCATAGAAACGTGAACAAATTTAATGTTTGCTACATGAAAACCGATACATCAAGATAGGTATTCTGTAAAGATCCATCTACTCTCGATCCACCTTGTACTCCATATATCGGTTCCAAGGTTTATCTAAGTTGGGTGTGATACGTTCTGCATAGTAACATTAGACTTCATGATGGGTTAAACTAAACTGTTCTAAAATAGGTAGATGTGTCCCTAAAATTATTTTATACAAATTTCTAAAATAATTAATCACTTGATGAACCAGTAACGATGCAACTACTAGTTAAATGTATGTTCGTATATTTCACTTCAGTTGAAACACAGTAATGAGCAAGTAGGAAAAAAATGAGACTTACCATAACTTTACGCTACTCATGAGTAGTATATTCCAAGAAAAATAAAACTACTGGTATTCATTTGTACCTAACACGTCAAATGCAATGCACTTCGGATGGATAATATGTCTGAGGATGTAAATCGGTATAATGCTTCCATAATTAATGTAATCTCACTATGACTGCATAGAAGTTATATAATGTTTCCTAACATTCATGACAAGTGGCATGTACGCGATAACTGTTGGTTTTATTCTACCGAATATAAGTTTTGATGAGAATGGTGTCTAATTATCAGTGCTTACATATCATTATCAATCCTTGGTAAAACTAAACAGTATTCGTCTTCGAAATCAAAATGCAGGGTTTTAATTATGATGGTAAGATCAACTGAGAAGATTTGAAATCAATATAAAGTTAAAAGCCATGTCGAATTATAGTATTTCTAAAATATGTGATATTACATTGAGTAAAACTATGATGCAGTACACTTCAAAAGGCACAGAACACAAAGCTCTACTAATCTATCATGTAGTCTACTATAAGCATACAAATCTTACATAGGGTCCACCGAATAAACTATTTATGACCTATGATTTAAGAGTAATGTTTATGTACGTATTTATGAATTACATTAAAACGACCGAACTTGATGTGAAGAAGCGGTATTTTTACCGTAGTCAGTTAATTATTCTTTAAAATAATCTTAAGAACAGCAAAATTCCATGGGTCATGTCACTTGTGAAATATTTTTTCGAAAAAACAATATCGAAATGAGTATGAATTTGGTAAAAAAAGATCGTGAATGAAGTTCTTAACGTGTGGAGGTAAATATATCAAGAAACTCTGCTAATCCACCAAAGGATTGAGCATCTGTTCGCTTATTGTTCTTTTTTTTTATCCATTTACATATCTACCAACTAATTCTTAATCGAGACCAAGAGTACTCTTGTAGTATTAAGAATAGCTTACAACCCATCACGATGCACAATACTAGAAATCTTAAACCGAAGCGCAGCATTTACTAGCACATTTCCCTACTTGTCTATCCTTTGAAAAAATGTTGAGCATATTAAAATATATATTCAATAACTGATTAAATGGAAAAAGTATATGTAGCTTCTAAATCGATTGAAAGGTTTCGTTCTTGTTTATGCTGATCGTCTGAAAGACATATATTAAATATAATTTTTTAATGATTGTCATTTGACTGTATGTAGAAAAAAATTTATTACATAACTGCTGATGAAAATTCCTTACTATAACGAAATTTCTAAGAATGATTTAAGCTATTATTATTTTCCCATTTATTTATCTATTCATTCATTTTGAGAACCTGTCATATGCAGTACAAAGAAGGGGTTGATGATTTAAACTTGCCAAAAGTTTTATTAGTAGCTTTACTTAAACCAAATAGTAATCCATAATATCCGATTATCATCTAATCATTCATAATTGATTATATATATATATATATATATATATATATATATATATAAGTAGAAGGTAACACAAGTCAGAAATGGAAGACCTAGAGGCAGAAGGCCATGAAGATCGACATGAAGAAAACAGAAACGGAAATATAAAGAAATTGTGACTTGAAAAAAATCATATAGGATGTGAAGGATAAATGATGGAATTTTCCAAATGAAATATTCAGCGTATGATCCTCATAGTTTACCATGTTACCAAAAACTTGTGTTTAATTCACAGAATAAGCTATTTTCCTAAAACACATTATTTGGCATGTACAACATTAACAGTAATGTTTCTATCCGGGTTCTAATTAATACACTAGATTTGGCAAAATAAGACTAATTTACTTCGTTGATTTCACCTAATTATTATTTAAAATAGTTATGATAATAATTAATGTAGAATTTTTCTTGGTTTTCTAACATTTTTAATATTTTTCTTTTGAGAAAAAAAACCTGCATAAAAGTAAGTTTTAACAAAAAGAAAAGAAAATAATGAATGAACAGAATTCCTGAAACTTAGAAAAAAGAGACAGTTGTAGGTTTTGGTGACATAATTTCACCATCTCTTTTTCTTTTTTTTTGCACAATTTT